TATATATATATATATATTAATGTTGTGAGAAGTAGCCAGGCTGAGACACAGATAGGAAGTTGAGGCATCTGGTTTGTCGTAGGGCGCAGACTCCTCTGCGGCCACCAGCCGACGCTCTACGCAGAGCCAAGACGCAGCAGCTGATGAATCCACCGTTAAGCATTGTCAATACCCTCTTCTTTCTACGAGGAGCCTCTGCAACGCTGTGAATCGCTGCAGTTCGAAAAAAGTCGAGTGTTGTGGTGGCGGAGGACGTAGTGTCAGAGCAGCAGATAACCTCCTGCAGCGGAGTGCCTTGTTCAAATGCATCTTTGCACGTTACTTCCGCACAAACCAAACAAGTTTAACCTCTTTGTTTTCAGAGAAGCAGCTGCAGAAATAGAGAAGCCTATATAATTATAACAAAGAAGAAATGTTAACTTGCTGTGTTTGTTACATATGCTCTCTGGCACCTGTTTAGTAAACCCACTTGTATGCCAACTCCCAAACCATATGTTGTTGTATTCCGCCGCGCTTCACCAGCCAGTGCACGCATGGGCCAAGAAAGGCGGCCGCAATGTTGGCGTATGTTTTTTTTTTGTGTGTGTGTTATCCCGTGTAATAGTGATGGGTGATGCCTGTTGTGTTGGGAGGAGTGGTGAAGTATATGCTCTGTCATATCTCAATCTTTTTTTTTGAGAAATTGTTGTTTGCCTCTGCGCCAGAAAGTATGTTCACAAATTCAGCTGATCCGTCTTCCTTCCCCACAGATGTAGTCAGTTCGAAGCCCCTACTCAGTACCATGAACAGGGTTGGATAAGATCATTGTTGATCGGCAATCATGGATCCGAATCCTGTCCTCTTTTTCTTTTGCACTGATTTCCCAATAAAGAAAATGACTGTGCGTAAGGGGCGGGGAGTCATGTGCCTTGCCCGGTTGTCCCGTTTTCTGCCCTGCTGTGTGTGCGATCCCTCATCACCTGCCTAGCTTCATTGCGCTTCAGCCTGTTAGAAGAGTCACGAAGCATGCTTATCTGCCCCCCACTCCTATAAGAGAGTAAAAACTGAGAGTGAAGAAGAGTTATGGCGTTCCCCCCCCCCNGTCCTAAACACATTCAGCGACCGCCGCACTCCGACTCTCCGCCGGTGCTACGCACACAATTGTAACATTTAGGCGCTGCCCGGGGCCAGGCAGGCCCCAAGACGTCATCTCTTGTCTCGTGGGCAAAGAGAGGTGGTGCTGGGACAGATGGAAGCCCCCTTTATAAAGTCCCCGATACGGACCTCAGTTTTAAAAATCTTCTCGATCTGAAAGCCGCACGCAAGCAGGCAAACGCAGTATCGCAGCCCGCATGCTCTTTACTCGGGGAAGCGGATGAAAACAACAATTGGATAACACACACCTTCGGAAGACCTTCACAACCCCGCAAAGAGACAAAGGAAAAAAACACAAGGAACCCCTCCTGCTCACCTAATCCCATTACGCGTTATCCTGCATCGAGTAGGATAACAATAGGAGAAAGCCTCAAGAAAATTGAGGCCTTGCGTATGGCCAACTCGATCCAAGCCCACAGATCTCTCTACACGGCATCAGTCCCCATGACGCCCAGAAATAGCAGCAGTGTCGGCGTCCTTGCTGTGCAGCATGGACAACAGCAAAAGGCAAAAAGTATTCGTCAAACAAACAGCACACCGATTAATACATGCGCCTAAGAAGCTCAAAGCTCTAAGCTCTGGCGCCCAGGAAGGCTTCCAATTAGCACATATAGATCAATTCAAGGCACACTTGCCATCGCATGAAGCAAACCAACAGAGCGAGTCACATGGATTCTTCGTCCACGGTGTCAGATGAGACCAAATCAGACGAATGTCGTCGCAGCAAGCCCCCAATTGCAGACAATCCCCTCACATTTTTGCAACCGCAAAGGCTCACCTCTCGAAGCGTCTCAATAGATGCAAGAGGAGTCACATCTGTAAGAAGTTCGCAGTGATCAAGATCAAGATTCACGAGACTGCCACTCGCGCTGAGCCTCCTCAGGTCGTCGTCTGAGACAGAGAGGCGGCTTAAATCAAGCACGCGCAGCGCAGGCAAAGCGCCAAGGGCACCAACACCCGTCACACCCACAGAATCCGCAAGGTTCACCTCCTCCAGTGTCGAAACGGATGCAAGAGGAGTCACATCTCTTATAAGCTTGTTCTCTCCGAAATCAATCCTCACGAGAGTGCGACTCGCGCTGATTCCCCTCAAGTCATCATCCGTGAGTGCGGTGTAGCTCAAATTAAGCACGCGCAGCATTGCCATCCTCCCGAGAACACCGAAAGCATTCACATATTCGCATCCGCGAAGATTCACCTCTTGAAGAGTCTCAATAGACGCAAGAGAAGTTACATCAGTCAGATATCTACAGCGCTTGAGCTCAAGCTTCACGAGACTGCGACTCGCGCTGAGGCCCACCAGACCCTCGTTGGTGATGCCAGAACGGCAGAGATCAAGCGAGCGCAGCGCAGGCAGCCTGCCAAGGGCGCCAACGGCCGTCACCCCATCACAATCCGCAAGGCTCACCTCTTCAAGTGTTTCAATGGATGCCAACGGGGACACATCTGTCAGCAACATGCAGTTATCGAGAGCAATCTCGACGAGACTTCGACTGGCACCCAGCCCCCTCAGCCCCTCGTCCGTGACTGCAGTGTGGGCCAAATATATTGAGCGCAGTACAGGCAACTTACCAAGGTCAGCGACAACAGAAACCTCCTCGCTCACTCGAAGGTTGATCTCCTCAAGTGTCTGGATTCGCGCCAATGGGGATACATCCGAGAGCTGCTTACAACCTCCGAGATCGAGCTTCACAAGACTTTGACTCGCACCGAGCTCCCTTACGCACTCATCCGTGATGGCACTACACCACAAGTAAAGGTGACGCAGCTTAGGCAGCCCGACGAGAGCGCCAAGGCCTGTCACACATGCACAGTAGCCGAGGCTCACCTCTTCAAGAGTCTCGATATTTGCCAACGGCGACACATCCGTCAGCTGCTTGCAGTCGACGAGATCAACCTTAACGAGACTTCGACTCACTGCGAGGTCCCTCAGCTCTTCGTCTCCGATCCCAGTGAAGCTTAAATCAAGTGAGCGTAGTCGTGGGAGGTGACCAATGCTTTCCCAACCTTTTATCTGGGCACAGTTGCAAAGAGAGAGATCCTCCAGTGTCTGGATGAGTCCCAAGTCACGCAAGTCACCATCTTTAAGGCTTACAGCACTTAGCAGTAGTTTCCGCAGCAAAGGGAGCTGACTCAGGGAGGCAAAGTTTTGCACATCAACATCCCCTTCCACATGTATTTCCTGCAATGACGGTAGGTTTGCAAACAATTGCAAATCACAGACCCCAGTGCAGTGTTCGATGTGTACCCGCGTCGGTGACTCACACCCAAGAAGGGACCTCAGGTTCTTTCCCTCAAGTGCCTTTCCAACGATGCGGACCTCGTCCGTGTCGGGCATCTTTTCAGCGTCAAAGAAGAGCGTGCTGCCAGCTGCGCAACGCCTCAACTTAGTGTCCGCGTATGCCTCGATACCCCGCCCCCAAGTGTCCCCTTTAAATACGTTCCTTCTTTCCCTTGCCTTTTGATGCGGTCTATCCGTCGAAAACGCCCTGAGACTCGGCTTTTGCAACGCCTGCAACGGCAGGTTATGGGCAGAATCCTTTGATCGGCTTTGCGAGACAGAATCGCTGTAGAGAGAGGCAGTGGATTCCTGATTCCCCGCTCCGGTTCCGCTTAAGAGCTTCCCGTGCCGGTGTAGCAAAAAGTGTACACGCCTTCGAATGGGTAACTTTGTGCACACAAAAAGAAGAAAGAAAGGTCATCAGACGCCATGCATCAGCGGGAGGAGTCATACAAACAGAACAAAAAGCAGGTGTCGTATATCGCTTATTGCGATCCCTCAGCGGCGCAACGCCTGTCTCCCGAAAGACAGTCCCTACAGTTAGCCGTTTCATGATTCCCCACGCGTGTCTCAACCGGAAGCGCATCACATCCCAAATGTTATGACGGACACACCTCTTGTTCAGGGGTTGGCTTTTCTTTTGGATTCCCGCTTTTTTCTTCTGCGTGTGTGTACGTTCGTCTCACTCGCTCATCACTTTATCAGGCACCAAGGCAACCTCCCTGGCATTCCTTCAGCTCATTTTTTTTTTGTAAGGGAAATGAAAGAATCTCCACACGCGGAGAGTTGCCGTGACCACCGTACGCGCACAGCGCAGCCTGGGTGGCCACACCGGCACGCCATATTCCCCCCGTCAAGCCGTGGCGTCAAAGCCTCTAGTCCCGTGCCGCGCAGAGGCATCCACCCACAGCCCACTCGCATCACTCCGGTTTCTCGGTGTGTTGGCTTTCGGGCCTTGTTGCGTCGGGGGCAGCAGACACCTGTACGCATGGCTCCTCCTCTCACGTTAGCGACGAGAGAAACCAGCTACGGGAACCAACGAGCATGTTTGGCCGCTCATCCATCGGATGCCAAAACCTCCGCGCATCAGCCGCCGTTCTTGTGGCGCACCCACACTGGGGCCACCCCATCTCGGTTAGGCGCTGCCGCAGCCACAGAAGAGGAGGCACGCCTTACGCCCCTCCCCGGGGCAGCAGCATCCGTCAACGTCCACACCGAATCGACAAATGCGGGATGAACAACATCGGCGCCGCAACGTGGCGTGGTGGGAGAGGCAAACACACCTCATGTGTGCACATCCATGCAGCGCCAACGTGTCATCCTGCCGGTGACCCCCTGTGTGTGCCCCCGTCCATGCGTGAACCCCTACGCCAACTATGCGCATCAAGACACCGAAATGCCAACAAGAACAAAAAGGGACAAAAAGGATTATTCGTTGATACAGCACCACTACCAAAATAAAACAGCAACATCGGCATGCAAGTGGTGGTAATTGAATCACCTCTGTATTTTGTGGCAAAAAGCATGTCGTTTGCTTGTTTGTGTTTTTTTTTGTTTTGTTTTGTTTTGTCTTTTCGCTCCTAGTACATGACTGCTTACATCTAAAACGGGAGCTGCGTGAAAAGCGCCACTCCACGGAGCACCCAGTGGTTCTCCGAATCAGCTGGATGTTTCGGCAGGTCGATGGTGAGAATAAAGTTGGTAGAGTGCCCGGTTGTTGACAGCACACCACGTCTATCAGTCGTCTTGTAGCACGGGCATCGGTACACCGGGGTGTCGGGAAGATCCTCTTCGCGGCACGGCAGCAGCCGCAACAGCGGGAACTTGATGAAGAGCTCCTTCGGCCTACTCTCACAGAGGGCGGCGTTGACGGGGTCCCACCCCGCCCCCTCAAGGAAGAGGCCGTTGATGCAGCAGCCGTCCTCTGGGGCGGTGGTGCAAGTCTCCTCAGTGAGGACTGTGAACTGCCACGTTAATTTATCGATCTCTATCTTCCACTTGCGCGCGTAGTTCTGCATGACGCCAGTTAGGAATGATTGTGTAAAGAAAAATCCGCTGATCCAGAACATAGGTGGCGGGCCCTCATCACACCATTTTTGCAGGAACGCGAGGCGATCAATCAAATCATTCACATAGGAGCCAAATGGNTTCAGCGACGGGTATGACCGCCTCTTCCACACGTCTGGGACCTTGCCGTCGTACATGGCATTGAAAACTTCCTCCAAATCCGAGCTCATCACCACTTTCCCACTTATCGCATCCTGCACAGCCGCCAGTGTTTGTCGCACAACAACCAGGAGACGTTTATACCGTATCGCCTCCTGTAGTAGAACCGTGTTCATTGATTGCGAGTAATCAATGGGGTGTTTCTCCTGGATCTCCTCAATATCGAAGGGTTTCGGAAGCCGTGAAAGGACGTGGTGTGCAAGATCCCGCACGGTCGCCTTTGGGTCCAGCTTTGACGCAGAGTCGGATGACTCTCGTGGTTGAGTCAGGAGTGTCGCCTCAAGCAAATTCTTTGCATCCCTCTCATCCTTGGTGATGTCAGCGTTCTCGTGAAGACCAAACACGCCGGGCGGCTGCTGCAATGGCAAGCTTTGAATATACTCCACATAGGAGTTGAATTCACCAAATGGCGGGGCGTAGTATTCGGGGGCGTCTGGGGCGAACACGTAGTCGTCCTCCAGTATCAATGGCGTCAGGTAGAGAGACAGCGTCGCCATAATGCAGCGGCGATCCCAATCATCTGTCACCCTCCCACCGTAGTTACACTGGCCAGTGAGGTACAGCAGCGCATCGTACGGGATCTCTTCATTTTCGTCAAGAAACATGTTGAGCTGTCGCACGCTGATACGGCGGTCAGTGTCGTTGAATTCGTACATACGGTTCCAACCAAGTGGTCCAAACTGGCGGCGCTCCTGCACGACGGCGTGGAAAAAGCAGAGACCAAACAGCATCTTCCGCCAGACCTCGGGTTTGTTGGAGGAGCCGAAGAACTGTGGGTCTGCCACCGGATTGGAGAGATAAGACTGCAGTAGATTACTTTTGAGACCCTTTGGTGGCTCTTGTACCAACTTAACGCCGTTCTGAAGGATGGCGATGGGGAACGTCTCGCTTGGAAGCGATGTGAGCCACAGGCGGTACTGATCGTGTAGGTTCGTCTTTGCACCACTATCGCTGTAGTTTTCAATGATGCGCGAGAGCTCCGGCATGAAGTCCTGGTATAGATGACAGTTCTGCAGGAATACCCAGTGCCCCGCGCGAGTTCCCTCGTCGATGAGCTGCCGCGCAAAGACGCCCTGCCCCTGTCCGAGTGACAGCTTGAAGAGGCGGCTACTCATGCCCATCTGCTCCGCAAGGCGGTCCAGCTCCACGCTGGGGTCGGCGCCAGGCGACAGCACAAGCACGAGCGGCACTGACGGGTCGTGCGCCAACTCCTGGACGACCTCCTCCAGCGCGTAGAGCGGCGGCTCCACGAAGTAGCCGCCCAGCAAGCTGCGCACGTACTCCGTCACCGCTGGCACGATCTTGTCGGTGCGGAAGCAGCGCACGATGATCAGTTGCAGCACGCCCTGCAGTTCCGCGATGACGGCTGGAAGCTCCAGCGCAAGCGGGTCAGACGCCTCGTAGTAGTCACGGAAGAAGCTCTCGTTCTCCCGCACCGTGTCAATGAACGACGACAGCACCGGCAGCTGAGTGCTGGCGCGACACAAAAGCTTCCAGTTCTTCTCTGGCAACCAAGAGTCGAAGGGATTCTGCGAGATCACATCATCCGCCTCGAAACCACCCATAAGAAGCCAGCGCAGCTGTGTTGGATCCACCTCGTGAATCTTCAGGCACATCGTCAGCGAGAAGAGCAGCTGATCCCGCGCAAACAGTGAACGACAGATCCTCCTGTAGAGCGACCGCTGAAACGTTGTTTTAATATTCTCAATGCGGACATCCACATCCTCAGACTTCTCGCTCTGCTGCAGAGCCTCCTGAAAGATTGTGACGTACGCGCTGAGGGAGTTTTGGTACATAGGGTCGATGTTGGCCAGCTCTGTCACGCAGAAGAACAGTGTAGCGCCGAGGTTGGCAACGGGAATGAAGAGGTTGCGGGTGCGATCACTGATGCGCTCCATCGCCTCGATTTCCTCTTGGCGCTTTGCAATCTGATCGCTCTGCACCTTGGAGCTGTCGAGCTCCTCAATAGCCGTCTCGCTCTCCAGTATGTTGCCCTCTGAGGAGAGAATCGCGAGCATTTTATCCTCCGTGTGTTTCAGGTTCGCCTGATTCTCCGCAGCCTCAAGTGTCAGCGCCTGCTTCTTCTCCTCCACTTCGCGCCGCTCACACATCATAACACGCTGCAGCAGCTGGTCCTGCAGCCCCTGCTGCGTGATCATGAAGTTGATGAGCGTCACCTTCGTGCTCACCTCTGGCAGGTAGTGCGGTCGGGGCAGCTTCGTCGTCATGTAGAAGCGGAAATTCGCGTTCCACTCCACCGGCTCCCCAACGTGCACGACGACGGCACTCCCCTCCCGCGTCAGCCGCTTCAGCAGTAGGTTCTCCAGCACCGGGTCCACTGTTTCGTCGAGGTTCTCCAGGAGCACCGGCCGCCCCTCTGAAATGGCGCCGCGGATAGTCTTGATGCAATCTGACTCCGATGGCCGTGTGACGATGAGCCCGTTGGCACGCTCCATGTTGCGAATCCAGTTGTTCGCCTGCTGCTGCGGGTCAACAAAGAGCGGCCAGCGGTCGGACGTCTTCACAATAACGGCATTGTCGACAGAGAAGCCATCAGACGGCAGTTGCTGCAGTTTCCACGCCTGGATGTCGATTGGCGAACCGACGAACTTTTCCAAGGCGTAGTCCTCCGACACAAGCACGTCGTGCTTCCTGCACATTTCCAGCCAGGTGTGCGTTGCCTTCTTACGGTACTTGTGCAGAAACGGCCCCATGTATGCCACAACACCGGCGCTGACGACGACGTTGCCAACAACGTACTTCAGCTCCTCCTCGAAGCGTTTGCTTTCCTTGGCGAAGCGCATCTTTTCACCGCCAAGACCCTCAATGAGCTTCTTCGCCCGCGTCAATTTGACATCGGTGTCGTTCACCTTCTCCTCGAGGTCCTGCTTATCTTTTTTGACGCTTTCGAGGTGACTCGTGAGCGCCGCGAGCTTCTCATTGATGATACGCAGCTCCTCCTTCTTCTTGTTGAGGCTCGTCATCGCCGCGTCGTATTCTTGCTGTGCGGCGGCGGCCTGCGCCAGCAGCGGCTTGATGATCTTGTTCTGCTTGTAGTACTCCACCACCGCCCGGATGTACGTCGCCACACCGAGCAGCGCGACGGACGTTTTTCGTATGTTCTCGTTCTTAAACATATCGTTCGACATCTTCTTCTTCACCTCCTCGATCTGCTCGTTGGGTGTGGTGTCGACAATGACCGGGTACGCGTTGAGCAGCGTGTTCTTGAACTCGGCGTTGAGGAGCGTCAGTTTGGCGTGGTCCCAGTACGGCACCGACACGCTGCCGGTGAGCGGGTCCCGCACCGGCTTCGGCTTGTACGTGCCGCCCAGCAGCGTGCAGAGCACCTCGATGACGTAC